CAGCCATGAGACACATGTGGCCCCCCAGCACTTGAAATGTGGACTGAGGAACTGAACGTTTACTTTTATTTGTTAGTAATTAATTGAAAGTTAAATAGCCACAGAGAGGGGCCCCTGGGTGGCTCTGTTCCTTAAACGGCTGACTCTTGATTTCCGTTCAGGTCATGATCTCACGTGGTTCACGAGTTCGAGCCCTGTGTCGGGCTCCGTGCTGTTGGACTTACACCGCAAAATTGTACATTTCAAAATGATTAGGATGGTAAGTGTGATGTTATGTATATTTTACCACAATTATAAATAAATACATTTTTTTTTAAATAACAAAGAAGGCTTTTGTTGATTTCAAAACAACTAGCTCATTAAAAAAACAAATCACAGGGGCGCCTGGGTGGCGCAGTCGGTTAAGCGTCCGACTTCAGCCAGGTCATGATCTCGCGGTCCGTGAGTTCGAGCCCCGCGTCAGGCTCTGGGCTGATGGCTCGGAGCCTGGAGCCTGTTTCCGATTCTGAGTCTCCCTCTCTCTCTGCCCCTCCCCCGTTCATGCTCTGTCTCTCTCTGTCCCAAAAATAAATAAACGTTGAAAAACAAAAAAACAAAAAAACAAATCACAGACTTTGGGACCGGGGGTCAGTAAGTTCTTAGCCCATTACCAAAAGCACTATCCACGAAAGGAAAAACTGATAAATTGGACCTGATCAAAGTTAAAAGCTTACTGCTCTGAAAAGACCCTGTGACAAGGACAGATAGACAAGCCAGACACTGAGAAAAAAACGATTTGCAAAACATGTGTCTGACAAAAGACTAGCATCTAGAATGTATAAAGAAACCTCAAAACTCAACAGTACAAACATAAACAGCCTAATTAGAAAATGGGCACAAGAGGGGCGCCTGGGTGGCCCAGTCGGTTGAGCATCGGACTTCAACTCAGGTCGTGATCTCACGGTTCGTGGGTTCGAGCCCCGCGTCGGGCTCTGTGCTGACAGCTCGGAGCCTGGAGCCTGCTTTGGATTCTGTGTCTCCCTCTCTCTCTGCCCCTCCCCTGCTCCCCCCTCAAAAATAAGCAAATATTAAAAAAAAATTTTTTGACTCAAAAATAAAAATAAACGGGCACAAGACATGAAAACATTCCACTGAAGAAGATATATGGATGGCAAACAAACACACGGAAAGATGTGCAGCATCATTAGCTATTAGGGAAACGCTCATTAAGGCCACAGTGTGTCGGTGGCCTTACCACCATCACGCCTACCAAAATGGCAACAGTTAACACCAGAGGCAATGCCAAATGCTGGTGAGGACGCGGGGTAACTGGATCCCTGTACATCGCCGGTGGGGATGCACTTTCTTACAAAGCTAACCAGACAACTACCATCCACCCCAGCGTTTGCACTCTGGGGCATTTATCTCAGAGAAATGTTCCATGCCGTGACTGTATCGATGCCAGCATCCTGCTTGTGATATCGTACCATAGTTTTGCAAGCTGCTAGGGAAAACCGGGGAAAGGTACGCGGTATCTTTCTGTGTTGGGGCAACTGCACGTGTATCTATAATATGTCGGCATAAAAAACTTGTACTTAAAAGTACAAGAAACATGGTAAAAGTTGAATTTGAGTTAAACAGCAATAGTTTCTTGGTATAAGTATGTCCCACATAATATTTGGGACATACTCATACCAAGAAACTATTTGTTATCTCAAATTCAAATTTAACTGGGAGTCTTGTATTTTATCCGGCAATCTTACTCCTGGGAAATTCCCCAAGGTAAGAGCAGATACTTGTCATTTCATTCATTCACTCAGCAAAGATCTCTTGAGGACTTAATATGTGCCAGGCACTGTCCTAGGCACCGAGAACCCACCTGTGCACTTACCTCATCCCTACCCTGAGGTACTGGCATTGAAGTGGAAGAAGACAGGCAATAAAGACATAATGAGCTATGTAAATAAGATAATTTCATATGGGGGTAAGTGTTCCATAGAAAATAAAGCAGAGTAGTATCCAGAGAGAGCTGAAGTAGATGTAGGGGAGGAAAGTCAGGGAGGGACTCCCTGAGAAGGGGACATCTAAGCAGAGGCCTGAAGGAATAGAAGGAGCTAGTTATGCAAAGATTGAGGGAAGAGCATTCTAGACAGAGGAAAGAGCATGTCCAAAGGCCCTGAGGCAGGAACAAGACTGGCAAATGCCAGGAATGCGTGGCCTCAGACAAAATTGGTATCCACTGGTCCTAAGAACCCTGTGTCCTCCCCTTCCCCACATGTCAGATCTGGAAGATCTTTCTGAGACCATGGAAGAGACCGAAGCTCTGGAGGTCAAGATTGGCCCAAAGCTGCCACTGGTCCATGTGCCTCAATTCTGAATAGAAGCCTTTCCATCTGGGAAGGTGAGAACCCATAGCTGCTCCTGAATCTGGGGCAGAGATGGAGGGCATGGTGGTCCCAGGAGGACTCAGCCTTGCCTGGGCAGCCGGCTTCAGACCAGGTAGGGCTTGGCTCCTCCTCTGGCCCTCAACGTGCCACCGCTGAGCACTCTATCTGGTCAAATATGCAAGTGGCCCTCTGCACGGTGGAGAGGAGCATAGCTGAGTAAGCCTTATCTGGGTCCCGCCCAGCTGCCAGGGGCCAGGTCTCTGGTGTCCCTTGACTCACAGGCCTGCCTGCAGCCAGGGCAGGGTGGGAATCCAGCTCCCAGGAGCACCCAGACCAGACGGGGCAGGGCAGGAAGGGACAAGACCGACCCCCCCCCACCACCACCACCACTCCCGTGAGTGAGAGGCTGGGCAGGGACTGGAAGGTGACTTCTCACTCCAGTGGCATTCCATCCCCCTGAGCTCACCTCCCTCGGAGCAAGCAGCACATTCCAGCAGGGCCAGCCCCATCCCAGCTGGGCCCCCATCCCTGGGGGCTGTCTCTCTGGGACTCAGTCACCACACTCCCAGGAAGGGATCTCTGAGGGCCCCTCCCTCCCTCCAGGCCCCAGAGCTGCAGCACACTTCCCTCTCTGTGCACAGCAAGACCTCACCAGCCTGCCCCGCCAGGTGCAATGTGTTTGTGGAGGCTCCAAGAGGCCGGTCTCCTATCCCCCTGGCTGGGGTTCCAGAGCTGGCACCTGGCAGAGGCTGGGCTTTTCTGAACCCCACAGGGGCATTCTACACATGCAGCGGAATGTCTCTGGAAGGGCCCCTGCACCTGGCTCTCCTTCCACCCCCAGGACTGCTCTTTGGCTCCCCATAGTCCTCCTGCCCCATGCCCACTTCCCAAAGGCAAATGCCCAGCTCTCCTGCTTTCCCACTCAAATCCTCCCTCTGGGCAATCCTACCAAAGGCCAGGGCTTCTGTTACTGCCTCCTGCTGGTGGCTGCCAGGAAGTGGCTCCAGACAAGATCTCTCTCCAGAATTAAGATCTAGGCATCCAGGATACCCCTGGGCACCCCCACTTGCAGGCCACAGGGTCTCCCAGTCCCAAAAGCACCCAAAGGTACCCTGATCATTTCCCCTGACACTGGTCTCCCCCTGCCCCAGGTCCTGATCCCAGTGAGAAGAGGCGTCCACCCATCCATCCCAAACACAACCCAAGGTGGGTCTTGTCTATTCTGCTTCCTGAACAGCTGTCCCTCCCCACTCTCCCGAGGCCCCTGCTGAGTTTGGGCACATGCTGCTGCCCTGCCCCCTTTACTCTGTTGTACACTATGTCCCAGAGAGGAACAGAAACCTGCCTACACACTTCTCCACCAAAGCCTCTTCAGGAACCTCCTGCAGAAGGGGAAAGTCTCACTCCTTGAACTGGCATTCAAGGCCCTGCATTTGGTCCTCACCCCTGTGCAGCCTCATCGCCTATTACCCCTCTCTCCCAGGACACACAGAACACCTCACCGGCCACCTGCACTGCCTGAACTATCCTCCTTCTTCCCACCTGCCTTGTCCACCTGGAGGACTCCTACTTAACCTTCAAAGCCCTGCTAAGGAGTCCCTTCTTCCTCCCAGAGGTCTCCGGACTTCTCCAAGAAGAAGCCACTCCTTCTTTCTGCATTGCATTTCTCCTGTGGAGGGTAGCCCGGAATCCTATTTTTTGTTCCTCTTATCTGACGCTCTCACAAGACTGAGCATCTTGAGGGCGAGAATTGTGGTTAGTTCATCTCCCCAAAAGGCTGGGAAGAAATCATGCAAAACCACAAAAATCCCGCCATCCAAAGATGTCAGCCCAGCGCTTCTGACGCCTCTCTCCCTCCCAACCAAAGATCCTATGATTCCAAACTCCACACGTGAGCATGTGAACCTCACGTTCTACAATCCCAACCTGAGCGGTCTGTGATTTCATTCCAAAAATATCATGCCCCTGATTTTCCAATAGGGAGAGACTATAATTCTAAAATCACCTTCCCAAAAGAGCTGTTGGCACCCCCATTTCTATCTTCTCCCCTGACCATTCTGATTCGAGGACCGCACAACTTCATGAGACAGTGCGGGGGGAGCCCTGCCGGCCTGCAGCGGTGCCCCTGCCTCCCCAGGCCCAAGGCCCACATCTGCAGGTGAGTGACTGGCTTTGCCCGGGCTCAGACCCAAACTGGAGACCCGTAAGGGCAGGACGCCCCATGGCGTTTATTCTCCCTCATCTGCCAGGTGAGGCGGTGGGCTGCTCTGGGTCCCCCGTCACGGGGCCTGCCACCCCACCTCTGCCCCTTAGGACACATAACCCTTCCCTGACTTCCTCCTCCTTTTGCTTCTCACCAGCTGCCAACAAGCCCAGAGCCTGTGGTCGGGTTGAGTCTTGTCTTCTCACAGCAGGGGCAAGGGAGCCAGCGATAAACACATCTGTGATCCTTTCCAAGATGCTCCGTCAGGAGCGGCTGCGGGCTGGCCCCTTTTCTGCTGTCAGCTCCCTACCTCTGCTGTGTGTGGGGCCCACGGAAGCCTACTGTGGGGGAGGTCCTGCGGTGGGACCCCATGTCTTTGAATAACAAATAGCACCCTGCAGGATCCCGCGGGCATCTCCCCACTGGGGCCCTCACCGGGCCCTGACCAGCACCTGAGGGTCCAGAACAAATTGAGGATCAGGGCCCCATTTAACAGATGGGGAAACGGAGGCTTCAAACAGAGATGGGACCCTGAGCTGATATACACTGAGCCTTACTAACCCCAGCTAAGTGGCTGTCCTTGCTCCTGACCACTTAGATATGTGCCTGGACCCTTGGCGGGCCCTGTAGTGGGGAGTGACAGTCTGGCCACCGCAGGGCTAGGCTGGAAAGCTGCCTTCCCTCTGTGCTCTGCCTGAATAGTATGGCCACTGCCCTGGGTGGCCTCCCTTTGCACCCTACAAAGCGGTGCTCAGGTCTATTCCCGTGTACAACGGGAAGTCCTGAATTCTACTTCCGGGCTCTGGAAAATACATGGCGTCAGGGTCAATGGCTGTTCCAGGAAGGGTATCCTCAAGGGTCCTCCCAAACTAGAGTGGAGTTGGTAGGTATGGGGAGTATCCCCTCAGCTGGGTTTCCCTGAGCCGTGAGAGTTGTTCCTGCTCAGAAACATCAAGTTGGACCCAGCCTGCACTCTTCCCAGACCCTGTTCCTGACGCTGCCCAAAGCTGTACTCTGCATCCCTGGTCAGTTTCTATGATTTTCGGACCTCCTCCGCTCCAGAACCATCAGCGACCATGAGGTGCTCAACCATTCACTCTGTACGTATGCAGGTCTCTGTATGCCAGGCTCTGGTGTGTGGCCGTGAATGAGACACACAGGGTCTCTGTCCTCATCAAGCTTATTTATGGTCTAGGGAGGGGAGCAAGCTCCAGAACAAGGCAGCATCTGAGAAAAGGCTAAGAAGGAATTGAAAGGGAAGCTTCTCTGAGAAGGGGACATCTGAGCTGAAAGGTGACCAGTAAGAAGAAGGCAGCCCCACGAAGATCTGAGGGGAGAATGCAAGGCCCTTCTCACTCCTTAACGTGGCGGGTGACCTTGCAGGTAACAGCGGCTGTTACCCCTTCAGGGACCCATGACCCCCGAACTGACCCCAAGTCCCCACCTCTGGCCTTTGGCCACCCCCTCCATACAGCAGACCTGGGTTACCTTCATCTCTCTTCTTTGCTTAGTCAAACCTCACTCATTTGGGGGGCCCATCTCCTCCAGGAAGCCCACCAAGGTTGGTTTTCTGATCTCTGACAGTTCCCGGCATCTGCTTCCCCCAAGAGCTGCCTGGAACAGCAACCATGGCCCTCACACCTGCTGCAGTGACATGGCTTCTAAAACCCTCTCCCATGTGATATACACAGGTCCTTTCTTACCCCAGGCTAGGACTTCTCTCCTTCAGTTCTCACAGGGGCCCAACCTGGTAGGCACAGGTGAAGAAACTGAGGTCGGGAGAGGGAAGCCGCTTGCCTTCCTTCTGTCCACCCCCAGGGAGTGACAGCTTCCAGGGCGGGACGGAGCCTGTGGCCTGCGACCCCAGCCATAAGGAGCGATCTGACCACAGGAATACAGAGGAATGGGCAGCTGGGAACCCTGGAGGGGTGTGCTGGCTATAGGTAGGCACTCCCAGCCACAGGACTGGATAGGCAGGGCCTTACACTTTACCCCAGGACATCATCCTGGGGCAGGCCAGGTGAGCAGCTCGGCCTGTGTGACTCACCCTGGCAGCCTGGGAGGCTCCGACACACAGGATGTGGCAAGAGGCTGGAGAGGAGAAGGAAGAGAGTGGGAGGCCTGCTTTCAGGCCCGGCTGGCCTGTGTCACTCCTCTGCGCACCCGGGGGGCTCGCTCCCCTCTAAGGTGTGCGTGCGTGACCCCCGCCACTTGCCAGACAGACTCCCTCTCCCACGACACATGCTCACACGACTTGTAATTATGCCCAGTCTGTGCTGAGGACCACCTAGGTGCCAGGCCCTGGGGTAAGTGCTCCCCTGCCCCGTCTCTTTCCCTCTCCACCTCAGCCCCGAGGACACTCCTGCCAGCTCTGCTTCCTTCTCGTGAAGGAAGGAGCGACAGAGCCAGAACGCAAACCCAGGCAGCCTGCTGCCAGCCCGTGCTGCGACCACCACGCCGTGGCAGCGCGTGGCCAGCTCGAGAGCTAGGAGCACTGGGTTCGAATTCTGACCTTGCTCATTAGCTGTGGGAACCTCGGCTTGTTACCTAACCTGGGAAATGGGGATCATGATAAGACCATTCATAGGAATGCCTTGAGGATGAAGTGAGCGGATGCCTCCAGAGCTAGAAGACTACCTGACCGACGAACAGGCTCTGGCAGAACAAGATTGGTGCCCCTTAACCATCTGTCGCCTGAATGGGCAGCTTGCGGCCCACACTTTGCCAGGAGATGTATGTGTTGGAGCCTCTGGTCATCTTCCTTTTCACCTTTTTCTGTATTTTTTAAGAGCTACCAGTGACTACCAGTTCTAAACACCCAGACTTAAAAATGAAGGGACTGCACAGAAAAATCTGAGTGTAAAATCGGAAGGTCCGGCCACAGTGGGCCGCATTCCCACAGAGCCACACCAGGCAGGAACCACGCTGGGCTCCTTGGTTCGCCATAGCCCTGTGCAGTTTCCCTCGTTGTTGTCACTCCTGTTCCTGCCCGGCTCCTGTGGCCTCCTGTAGTGCCCGCACATGTCCTGTCACTGCGGTGGTCTATCCCCCACCCAGGTGGCACGGAGCCCTCACTCCCAATCTGCCCTGGCTCACAGAGGCTTCTCTATCGAGCTCCAAGCGGCCCCCAGAGACTTTCCTCTCCCAGCACCTCCTGGGCCTGGGGGCTCCAGCGCGGGCTCCCAGCACCGTGGCCTTCACAGGCACTTACAGAGACCACTCCCAACCTCAGGCCTCTGTCTGGGACAGCACCCAAGCCAGGCGGCACTGACTTGGGAGCCCCGAGACGCCTGGCCAAGCTGCTTGTGCTTGAATACTTCTTGGGGCAGGGGGCTCACTTCCTTGGTAACTCAATCTGTTTCTCAATGGCCGTGGCTTGTCCTCACACCGGTAGGACCTGCCTCTCTGTGACACCCCCCACCCATGGGCCCTCACTCTGTACTCTGGGCCTGAAGACCCATGTGCCCCCTTGCCTTGGGACAGCCAGCTCCTCATGGGAAGAGATGTCCAGCCCCCTTTCGATCCCAGCACCTCCACTAGAAACATTCCGAAACATCCCTGACTCTCTTCTAAGCTGAGCCCAGAATCCAGGAGGATCTCAGGAGGCAATAAAGACAGAACAGTCACCCATATCTTGATTAAGGTGAGCAAGGACATTTCAGTGGCCCCGGCAGCTGCTCCACAGGGATGATTCTCACTGAACTCACCTCACCTCCTCCCCACAATCAGAGATCTGTATAGCTGATTTTGTGGGCCCAAGGATAAGACATCACATCCGTCCCTCGTTCCATCTTGCCAAGTTCCATCCAGTTTGTTTTACCAGAGACTCGGTTATTCAATCTCTCCAGTAACTGACACGCTTCACGCCATACCCAGATCCTGACCAGCAGCAAATCGACGACAGAGTCCAGCCGAATGAGGCTGAGGGCAGAGCCCTGGGGCTCACCACCAGACACCCAACACCAGCCGTTAGGAATAAGCTGTGTCACAGCACATCTGCCAGAGCCGCCCGGCTCCCCTCCCTGGCTGCCTACCTTTCGGCCCGCCTCGTTATTGTGTAAGTTCATGAGAGTCCGGGCATTCTGCTTGATCTCCCGGGCATCCACAAAGACCTTGGCGAAGCCGATGCCGTAGCGGATGTCGGCAGAACAGCCACCCCACTTCCAGCCCTCGTCCCGGTGGTACTGGCCTTGCTTCTCCTTGTCGCAGCCACAGTCACTCAGGTTGCCTTGGGTACAGGCAGCTGTGATGGCGTGGGCCACACCGGCGGCAATGATGGCGTACGTGAAGGCAGCCTCCCGGCTCCCTGCAGGGAGAAGAGTGGAGAGACTGGGGTCAAGTCCGGGGCACCCTGGGAGAAGGCCAGCCTGGATAAGAAGGGGAGCCGAGCTCACTGTAATGCTCTGCAAAGACGGACTGAGTGCCTACCATTCCTCACCCCCCGAGAAAGCTCCGTCTGGGGCCGATGACAACGCCCGACACCCGCCAGCATGCACACACCCATTCAATCCTGTCACTGAATGCCCTTGGGGTGTCAGCTGGGCAGCGCAGGGGTTGTCCGGCTTCCGGAGGGTTGGATGAGGGGACCTCTCTGTCGATTCCCACCCACTCCCCGCCACACTTGATGTGGCCGTGTAAACTGTGTGCACACTAACGGCAACACACTACAAAGCGGCATTTCTTAAAACACCTCCAGTGTGCACAGGCCCTGGAGCCAGAGGCCTGGGCTCAGATCCCAGGACCGTCAATCCCTGGCTCTGAGACATTCAGCCAATGACGACTCCTCCCCGTGTCTCAGTCTCCTCAGCTGTAAAATGGGGACATGGCCGTCGTGCCTTTCTCAGAGCAATGACAGAGAACGTTAAGAGTTTGTCCGTGTCAAGCTCTCGACTCCGTGCCCGGCTCATGGCACCTGCCTGACACAGCAGGTCTTGCGTTTGTGGTCCCTATTATCGTGGCTGTGTGTCGCCTATAAGGCCCATCCCCTCCTCTTCCCCATGGTCCTCTCACTAGACTGTGAGCCTCTCCAGAGAAGGCTGGGACCTGGCCCCTTCGTGTCTGTGTCCTCAGGCATCATCAGTCTGATAGAGAAGGCAAGGTGTAGAGAAGGGATGGGGACTGCCCACAGTCAGGGTGGAAAGGGGCAGGAAGGAGCCTGGACAGGAAGGTTCAGGGGAGGGAGGGCGTTTGGGGGGCACCTTTCCCACAGGTCTTCCCAGCTGCGTGGAGATGGCGTAAATCCTGTAAGGATTTACAAAGGCTCTGCAGGATGGTGCTAGGGCTTTAAGTGGGAGTAAAAGGGTCCTGAGTAGCTGGGGCACAGCAGCGCTGCCACCCTGCCCCTTAGCCTCTCTGAGCCTCAGTCTTTCCATTTGTAAAATGGGCCCGAGAGCAGCGTCTGCTGTATGGAATGAAGATGAACCCAGGCACTCTCTGGGAAGCCCCAGTGAGCCCTCAGCAAGTCCACTCTCACAGTGGGGTGGGGTGGTTCAGGGAGGGCTCCCTGGAGGAAGAGGCCCCACACCCAGAGCAGGCAGATGAGGCAGGGCTGACCAGTCATGAAGGGGCAGGGAGAGGGTTCCAGGGTGCTGTGATGCACGTGACCTCAGCAGTGGGTAAGGCAACCTCCAAGCTGCTTCGGGCCTCAGGTCACACTGATGCACACTCAGGTAGATGCCTCCCCCATCCACCCCTCATCCACCTCCTGGCCTCGCCCACCCGGGCTGCTGAGACACAAAGAGCCTGCCTCCCACCCCATCCCCAGCCACTGCTCTCCCACTGTCTGACGTCGGCCTGCCCACCCGTCAGATGGCTTCGCTCTACTAGGGCGCTTTGCTCCGCCATCCCGTGCCAGCCCGTCCGTGGCACCCCTGTTCACACAGTGCCTCCAATCCCAGCCCCACCACTTCCAGACTGTGACTCAGGCAAGCTCCTTGTCCTCTCTGAGCCTCAGTCTCCCTGCTTGTGAAATGCAGATGATGCCAGTGCCTACCTGACAGGAGCTGCTCAGAAGGAAAAGGAGTGGGGGTGACCTGCTTAGCCCGGTGCCTGGCTCACCAAACACCCCTAAACTGGGCACTCTCTCCTTTTCACTGTACCTCAAGCTCGAACCTGGAAAAAGGCATTATTTCAGCACCTACCAGGTTCCTGACCCTGCACACCTTATCGATCACATTAGTATTAGAAACCGTGTGTGTGTAACACGTGCCCTGCAGAGCGCTGAGCACAAGGGAGCATCGACAGGGGACAGCCCCAGCGTGGACAGGGGACAGCCACAGTGTGGGCACATGCACAGGCTGGACCTCGGGCAGGCTGGATTCCTGACAATGCTTTCGTTCTGTGAAATTAAGAAATGCTGCGTAAGATCGTCCGCTGCGCGGCCGGGCTCACAGGAAGGCAAGGGAACCCGTAGGGGCCGTGTGTTGAGGACAGAACTGATCACCAGCAGGGCGAGTAGGCATAGGATGTGGCCATCTTGTGTTGCTGGGCTCTGCAGAAAAGGGAGCTCATGAATTAAGGCCTCAAGGCCTGGTGATCAGGCCCTGGGTCCCAGAGGGGCAGGACATTGGAAAGGAGCTACTACTTGATGGACAGAATTGCAGAGAGGGCATGCTGGGAAAGTCGCTGCTCACGCACACACACCCAGCAAAGCAGGACAATAAACAAGCTACCTTAGGCAGCACAGGAGGTGGGAAGGTAAGGGGTGAGGACATCAGAATCCTGGAAACTGGGAGCCTTGTCCCTGCCTTCGAGATATGGCTCAGACTTGTCCTTCTGCATGCTCAGGGGTTCCCAAGTCAAGGGGGAAGACTGGCCCCAGGCCGGTCATTCCCTAAGACCCCTCGAGAAGCAAAGATAAAGCTGCCAGGCACCAGCTCACAGGAGAGTATGAAACACACGAGGAAATAATATACTAGATTCAGCCAACAGTGAGATTAGACCCTCAGTGACACCAAAGGAAAGAGTAATGAGATGGAGAGCATAAAGAGAACAGGATGGGGGTCATTCCCATTCCACCACTTCCCAGCTGTGTGACCTCAGGTGAGTCACCTAACCTCTCTGTGCTCCAGTTCCTCCACTATAAAATAGGGACGGCAACCACCCACTTTCTTAGGGTAGCTGAGAGGATTAGAAACACTAACAAAGATAAAACATTTAGCACAGAGCCTGGTATGAGAAAGGGGCCCCAGATACTAGATTTATTACGATTTCTATTCATGACGGTAGTAACAATTTTTTTTATTTATTATTTTTTAAATTTACATCCAAGTTAGTTAGCATATAGTGCAACAATGATTTCAGATTCCTTAATGCCCCTTACCCAAGTAACAGTTCTTTATGAGAGGTTGAGGAGGTAAAGAGTAGGAGGCAACGTCGATCTTCATTTATGGTTGAAGAAAACGAGGCCAAGAGAAAGGTCTGGCTTGCCCTGGGGCCACCCAACGGGTGGGCAACAGAGCTGAGCTGCTGACTTGGCCTCCAGACACCCCATATAGATCAAGTCTGTCCCAGGGATTAAACAGCCAGAGGTGCCGCAGCAGCTGAAAGGAGACTGTGTCCCCTTTATCAGACCAAGAATGGAGTATGCAAATTGAGGAGGGGGCGGGGAGCCAGGCCGGTCATCTGAGACTTGCCCTTCTCCCAGACTCCTCCCTGGAGGCGGGGCCAGGGGCAGGGTGGGGAGGGGTGGGACCAGAGTCCTTTGTGGTAATTTTGTGTGCAGTGCAGGTGACCTGCCCCTGGTCCCTCTGAGCCCCCTGAGCAGCGCACACCAATGCAGGTGGTGAGGGGCAGACAACGAACTAAACATGGCTTCTGTTCCCAGGTACATCCACTTAGGTCGGGGAAGCGCAGTTGAACCCCCACACAGTTAACTCCCCTAAGTTCAAGGTGGACCCCACCCCCCTCCCCGCTCCACAGTGAAGTCCCATCATGGGCCATGGCCTGCCCCTCCCCGCCAAGCTGGCTCTTACCTCAGCACCCACTGCCCCTGAAAAGTGAAAATTGTGGCTTAAGAGTTCCCAGGGACCCAAGTACTGGCTGCTCAAGCCCAATGCCTCGGGGTGCTAAAGGGTCACTGTGAGCCCTGCCATTGACCTTGATGTGGGCCTTGCCCACCTACATTAGACTGGCACTGCCTGATCCCCCCTCCCTTTCTCCCCCACCCCCCACCTGACCACTGAGAAAACTGGCCTGTGCATCAGGCTACCTGCGTATCTAACGTCAGGCCTGTTAACCGCTTTAAGCCTCTGTTGTTTCTTCTGTGAAATGGGCATAATGACAGCATCTAGGTATCATGGGCTATTGAGCAGACTGAACCACAGAACGAGGGGAAGGGGCTGAGTACAGAGCCAGGCATATAGTAAGTGTTCAGTAAATGCCAAGCATCGTTGTTGTTTTTGTTATTATTACCCCCAGGTCCCATTTTGCCTCACTGTGCTCCATAATGCCCCGAAGGATAAGACAGCCTCACACAGAGGCAAGTGGGTGGGGTTGAGCCAGCCATGTCTGCCTGCCCAGCCAAACTGCAGGTTCACAAGGCGACAGTGACCACATCTGTCTTGCTTCCATTGTTTACAACCCCCCCCCCCCCCATAATGCATGAGGGATGAATGAAGGAGCAGGTCTGTTTCCAATTTCAACCCCGCCAGGAGCTGGATGACCTTGCACGAGTCACTTAACCTCTCTTCGTCTCCATTTCCATACCTGTTCGTGTCACCTACTCTGTAGGAAGAAATATGTCTCACCTAGCACAAAGCTGGTGCTTAAATAAACTGCAGTGAGTATTACAGAGATTATAATTGATAAAATTACAGGCACACTGTTGGGAGATACAGAAAGAAAACTCCCCTCCCCCCCCATTTAGTTTTTTTACATAGCCCTCCTGCCATTTTATTTTATTTTTTTTTTTTAATTTTTTTTTTCAACGTTTATTTATTTTTGGGACAGAGAGAGACAGAGCATGAACGGGGGGAGGGGCAGAGAGAGGGAGACACAAATGAAACAGGCTCCAGGCTCTGAGCCATCAGCCCAGAGCCTGTAGGGCTGGGCCTCCCCGGAACTCACGGACTGCGAGATCGTGACCTGGCTGAAGTCGGACGCCTAACCGACTGCGCCACCCAGGCGCCCCGCCCTCCTGCCATTTTAGATTGATTTGCTTATTGTCTGTTCCTCACACACCTACCACTCCCATCACCCCACTGGAATATAATTTCCTTGAAGGTAAGCATTCTGTCATGTTCCCCATTGGGTCCCCAGGGCCTGACACATAGTAGGTACTCGGTAAATTTCATTGCATGAATGAAT